AAAAGGTGCTCAACATGACTAATCAGGGGAATGCAAATCAAAACCACAATGAGCTATCACCTCACACCTGTCAGGATGGCTCTTACCAAGATAAGAGACAACAAATGTTGGGGAGATGTGGAGAAAAGGGAACCCTGGTACATGTCAGTGGAAAAGTAAAATGGCACAGTCACTGTGGAAAATAGTATGGAGGTTCCTCAAAAAATCAAAAATAGAACTGACATATGATCCAGCAATCCTGCTTCTTGGTATTTACCCAAAGAAATTAAAAACAGGATTTCAAGGAGACCTCTGCATTCCTATGTTCACTGTAGCATTGTTCATAATAGCCAAGATATGGAAACAATCTAAATGTCTGATGATAGATGAATATATTTTTACATGTGTGTATGTGCAATGGAATATTATTCAGCCTTAAAAAAGCAGGAAATCCTAGCATTTGTGACAACATGGGTAGACCTAAAGGACATTATGCTAAGTGAAATATGCCAGTCACAGAAAGATAAATACTGTATAATCTACCTACACATGGAATCTAAAATAGTCAAACTCTCAGTAAAAGGGTGACTGCTAGGGGACAGGGGGAGGAAGAAATGGGGAGGCAATGGTCAACAGCAACAAGGTTTCACTTATACCAAATAAATAAGTTCTGAAGATCTACTATATACATAGTGACTACAGCTAAGAATATTGTATTGTATACTGAAAATTTTCTAAGAGGGTAGATTTTATATTAAGTGTTCTTACCACAAAACACAATAATAATACAATAATAACAAAGGGAGCAAGGAAACTTGTCAGTGTGATGGCTTCACAGGAGTATACTTATCCCCAAACTCATTGAGTTGTATACATTAAGAATAGCCTTTTACATATCAAAACTAATAATAAAAATATAAGCCTTAACACTGAAAAAAAAAAATCATTCCAGTAGCCTGTAGAACGTATCCTTTACTTATCCCCCTATCCTATAGATAGCACCTCTTGTCGAAAAGGCAAACTATAGGAAAAGCTCTTGGTGCTATGGCTTTGTAAAGCAAATGAAATCTCTCTAAACACATTGAATGAAATAATCTAAAAACACAGAGGAAAGAGGGAAAAATCAGCATCAAGCATAAGAACATAGTACAAAAACAGAAAAAGGGGAAACTCTTCAATTACACGTCTTACGAAGATAAATACACGTTTTCCTATAAAAATGAGAATATTCTAAAGCAACAATATAGGCAACCCCATTTTCCATCAAACAAGACTTTATAGACACTAACAAATGTCTATTACAGACCCCACAGACAAAGACCGTGCCTTTAGGTACAACAGAAAGGATGAGCCAGGAGGGCTAAAGTTCTATAAAACCAACTGGAAAGGAAGAATTAACCAGACTCAAATCAATCCACTTCAGAAACATACAGCAAAGAAATGTACAACCTGCTTCATAAATATATAATCCATAAACTTAATAAATTCAGAATTATAACATCTTCTAAAGGTCCAATCACTATATAAGATGTAAGTCTCTAAAATCTATCAGAAAAAGCAATTAGATAACTATCAGTTACTAAAACCGTAACATAAATCTTTTTAAAACTGAAAAACATTTCAAAGTAACTCGTCAGTAGCCTGTTATTTATTGTCTTTAAAACATTTAAGGGTCCTTAAAACAAAGTTTCATTAGTATCCTTCTAGAAAGAGCTCTAATATCTTTCATTCTTCTAGCAATTTAAAAGCTACTAAATGTTCATTTCTGCATTAGATTATTGATTCCTTGCCTTTTAACATCTCCATAACAGCTGCTTGACAAATTACCTCACCTTATTCCTCGGGGGGTAAGGACAGCATGATAGCCATGAATTCAAAAATGGGACCACAAACTGATCATTGATAGATGAGCTAATTGCTTCAGATGAGTTAGACACTGCTCTAATAGAGTAGGCATTCATAGCATGATACAATTAAATGCTTACACTCTAAATATTTTATTTGTCCTTAAGTGTAGAGGACAGACCTTTTTCTTAAATTTGCTTTTATTCTAAAACATATGATAGCTTCAGTAAGTCAAGAAGCTTGTACATGCTTGGAATAGTTTG